GTGGAGCGGAATAAACTATTAGAAAAGGAAGGGCTATTAAAAGGAGGGAAAAGAGGCAATCAAGAGACTTTGTGCAATGTTTCTCAACATATGGCCCCCAGAATCGTAGCATCAGCATCACCTAGGAGCTTGTCAGAAACGCAAATTTGCAGGCTCCATCCCAAACGTACTGAATCAGAAATTCTGGGTGCCGCTCCTAGAAATCCACCCCTCCCCTGGTTTCTGATGCACCTTAATGTTTGGGCACTTCACAGACTCTGTTAATCCATCAGGCAGAACTGGAAGGAAGGACCTTCCAGGTCCAGATGAAGGGATACGTGAGCTAAACTTTGGAGCCTCCCCACTGAAACCTCTACATCCTTGCTACTCAAAATGTGGACCATGGACCAGTGGTCTAGGCGACCCCTGGACACTTGTTGGAAATGCAGGACTTGGGCCACACTTTGTACCTACTGATTTCAGGTATGCATTTATAAGATTCCCAAGTGATTGCTATGCACATTAATGTTAGACAGACAGTAAACCAGAGACAGCAGATTCAACTAACTAGTGAGAGGAGGGAGAGAGCCCTGAGCTCAGGACCCAATGGGCAACCCCTTGCTCCTCTCTAGTCCTAAGCAGGAGGTTGGGAAGGAATGGACTCTGGGAGAGCTGCTGAAGCTGCAGACCCCTAGCCGTTACTGAGCCACATGGCAAGGCACTACTTGTCTCGGTGACTTTAACCTGGATGAACTTGAACAAGCTTGAATGTCTAGCCAAGTGGACCTCTTTTAATTAGTAATGGTCTTTAAATGCCAGGTTAACACAAAAATATAGACCTAAAGTTCAACCCACTTAACCCAGTAGGCAATATAGTAACTATATATAGATGCCCCCCCATTAAATTAGTTTTCATGTCTTTCTAGGTGGTAGATGAAGAATCCAAATATAGACGACGTTACCCAGTTATGAGAGAGGAAACAAGTCAATGTGGCCGGCTTCAAAGTCCACAAGATTCTTTGGTTTGGTTTGGTTTGGTCTTCATAACAAATTTAAAAAAAAAAAAAAAAAAGTTTTCTTCTTCCAACTAACCTGATAGCACGGATCCCTCATTAATAGTCTCAGACAGATTAACACTCTCAGAAAATGAATAGATGGGGCTCGGTTAATCCACTCTCTGTGAAAAGAAAACAAGAGAATCTGTTCAGGTTTAATTGCCAAGTGTGATGGTTCGTGAGCAATGTTTAAGACAGTGAAGACAAGCATGGGTCTAACACAATAACCAGAGAGTTTATGATTTCAAGCTTAATCTACAACTGGAATTGATATGCAAACTTGAACACATGACCCATTTTTATACCGCACATATATATGAGAGGACTTCAAAATGTTTCTGGGCAAATGGAATTGAAACATAATGGAATTTTTCCATGGACTTTTGGACACTCCCTTGTAAACTGTCTTCTCGTCACTGCACAGCAGAGGCCCCTAGTTTTTTCTAGTTCATAGGGCCCATAGTGTTGCAATCATTTTTCATGCCCCCCTGGGCCAAAGGAAGTATCTACCAGTTCCATGTATTCAGTAGTAAGGTCCAACTTAGTATGTATGCATGTCCTATTGACTTTTAGAAATAATGCATGTAGATTAAAAGAATATTTGAACTTTGCCCTTAAAGAACTACAATTGGTTATTAATCAAGTGGGTAGGTGAACCTGCAGGCATCGAGTAACCTAGCCTTGGATTCTGAGCGGAAGCCACCATCTTCGTTTCCTGACGCCCACTGATTTGCACACCGCCCTTCCTTTCTGTGTGGCAACCACCGCACACCCAACTTCAGAAAGATGTGCCATCCTCTGAAGGAAGGCAATGCGATCTAACAAGGAAGCTCTAAGCTACTGTGAGTAGCTGCCTCTGTATCTAAGAGACGTTGAATATCAATTTCAACCTCCTGAATTTGTAAACTAGCCCACACTGGGAGTTCATTGTGACATCCTGTGGCACACCTCCATGCCCTTTGGAAAACTTGGTGAGAAAGTACTTTCATCATCGTCCATTTCCCCAGAAGCAGGCAGACCCTGGGAAGAAGATGGGTGTGCAGGTGCAGAGCATTATTAGGGACACGCTCTAATAATGGCAGTGGGAGAAAGAGGAAGAGCCAACGGCAACTCTGATCTCAGGCAAAGCACCAGCCTCGCCTCACCTGATGCTACAGGGGAGCTCGGGGGTGTAAGTTAGACCTAGGAGTGACCCCAGACTGAAGCAAGGGAGCTGGCCTTTCCCAGTCCCCAAAGTGCTATCGTTAGCCCTGATAAACTGGCCCTGTGCCTGAGATGGTCTGCACATCACGGGGCAAGGAAACGCCAGACCCAAAGTGGGGAGGGACGAGGTGGGCGTCCCAGGCAGAGAAGCACCAGCATTATCCTACAGCTCTATATTTCACAACAGACCAGAATGCAAGGATTCAGGTGGGGCCCTTGGACGCTGAAGGTGCATTTGCCAAAATTCAAGTGCACAGGCAACTAGTGACACTGGGCTTGTGGAGGAGGAGAAAAATGGACTACAGCTCTAAACATGGGGACAGCCAATCTATAGAAAACTCAATTTTCAAAAAAGGAGGTAGCTACAAGTATCACTTCAATGCCATCTAATGATTCAGTGCCCACTCAAGTGCACTCTGAGAGACTTTTAAATTACGTATGTTTCTTTAGCAAAGAATTGTTTAGTCAGCACCCTTAGGGATCTTTATTTAAAACAAGGACAATTGCAATTTCGATATGTTGTTGAAGGGAAGGTCAAGGAACAGACAACGCTAGAGATCAGAGCATGCCACAACACCTGCCATTGCCCAGCTACTCCAGTGTCAACTGACCGGACTCTCTGACTTTTGCCAGTGCCACCAAGTTATCATGTACCACACACAGTGCAGGGTGCTTTCAATGGACTCCAATCCAGCGCTGAAGAGTCTCAATACAGACTCTACCCATTAATGGGCTTGTGTGAGTGCAGACGACGGTGGGAAGACAGGGTGGGTGTAATCTGCGTGCTCTGTTGGCACTCATTGTCCCTCCCCAGACCAGCACCTGCTGGACCAATATCATCACTCAGCTAAGCTGTGTTCCCTACTGTGAGCGAGTAGTAAAGGTAGTGAAAATGTTCAAACTGCCCAGCCTGCTCCCAATATTGCTGATCAATGTAGAGCCCATGAGGTGCAAAGGGCCAGGGTGTGAGGTGCACGATGCCTTTCACTCGGCTGGTGGTAACACTTGTACCCACGGAGGCCAAAGAACAGAACCCAGACTGAGGCTAGAATGTTTGAAACAGAATTTTTAAACCAACCATGCCCTCCCAAAATAAATTTTTTAAATCAACAAAATAGAACACAAAATCACAAAAATCAACACACTTGGTGGAGAGAGTAGCTGCTGGTTCATAGCCAAGGGAAACTGAGGGAGACAGCACAGGCTCATGTAGACAAGAATCCACATCACTTCCCTCACTGCCGAGCTTGGTATGGATCTGTTAAGGTTCCGATATTCTCAGTGTCTGTCCCCAATCAAAGGAAGCACTTGCTTAACTGTGCCCCGCCCCACACCTCCCTTGGCTTCTCTTAGGTTGACATAACCTGACGGTTATGATTCCGTTTTGTCTCATCTATACTGCTGTCAGTTGCCATCAAGTCGGCTGCGACTCGTAGCAGCCCTCCGTCCGACAGAATGAAACACTGCCTGGCTGTGTGCTGTCCTCCCAGGCTTTCCTGTATTTGAGCCCCGTGTTGCAGCCACTGTGTCAATCCATCTCCCCCAAAGGATCATCCTCTCTGGGGCTGTCTCTCTGCTTTTCAGGAATGGCTCCTCCTGATATGTGCCCAAAGCATTTGAGATGAACTTCCACCATCCTCCCTTGTCAGGATCATTCTGGCTGTACTTCTGGTTCCTCTGGCCAATCACCATCTAATCGGTATTCTTTGACAACACCACAATTCAAATTCAAATTTGTCTCCAAACCTACATCTCTCAAATTAAGCGACTGAGACTCACCCTACTGAGAGGCCAAATGAACACCTGTAATTATTGCCGTTGGAGAACTCACCTGTGCCCCGTGTGTATTCCACCCTAATCAGTCCTTGCCTCTGCCAAAACTATCTCATAGGAAGGAAGCTGGAAAATGGGATTTTCCCACCCCTTCTAGTCCCAGGGTCGTCTGAGTGCTGCTCACACAATGAAGCCCACACCAGAGTCCTGACTGCTGAGAGAGGTGGAAGAAAATGTCCCAAGAGCACACTGCCTGGGAGTGACCCCGTGCCACCACCAAGTGGCCTGGCAGGAGCACCTGCCGCAGCTGCCACTAACACCACGGCATTTTCAGACAGGTGCCCTCTTGTCAGACACCCCTTTGCAATGGGGGGTTTTCCTGAAAACAAAGCTCGGGATCCATCAGGAGCAGGTCTGCCAGCATGGCAAATTTACCCAAAGCCACAGTGGGAAACTGCACTAATGTCTGTACATATTCTGGATCTGAAAAAAAAAATCCATATACACTGCAGACTTGAACTATATTTTAAACTTAAAACGATCCCCTTTGGAAACACCTGGTTATTCTACCATTCCTGAGAGAACACCCTTAGCTTTTATGACTAGGACGGTGGCACAGGACTGGCGCCCCTTTCAGGGGCGGGGATCACACGTCGAAGAACCTTAGTGCAAAGACTCCATCATCAGAATCAGCAAAAGCAGTGCTCGCCTCGGAAGAGCAGCTGGAAACCTAATGATCCTTAGTGGTGATTCATTTTCGTCATTTAAGAGAAAAAAGCCATGAGGCGTTTCAAGAGATAATTCAGGCAACAAAAACACCGGGTACCCACCCAAACTAAACTTGCTCCTGTCAGGTCCATTCTAACTCATAATGACCCTGCAGGACAGAGTCCAACTACCCCCATGGGGCTTCCGAGGTTATAAACTCTTTCACAGAGGCAGACTGCCTCATCTTTCTCCCTTGGAGCAGCCGGTGAATTAGAACCGCCAACCTTTTGGTTCGTGGCCAAGCCCATTAACCACCACACCACCAGGGCACCTTCAATATGCGTGCACTTGGTATTCTTTCCTGTTTCTTATATAACATCTTCATGGGGTAAGCGCATGACCTTTCCAGTCCTGTGTGTGTGTCAAAATAAATCGTGATATGGTGGCCCTGTTTCTTTAAAAAAGAGAGAGGAGGAAAGAATCCAGGATGAATTTTTTTTTTCTTTACTATTAAAAGAGGGGACGATGAGTTCCAGGAAAGTCTCAGAGTTGAAAGTTCTGTCTCAAGCACATAGCGTGTTGGTTTTGTTTGTTTTTTTCTAATTCTGATTTGTAATTTTGGGACCGAAGCCCATAGCTATTAATATTCCTACGCGAGGCTGGGGTCAATGTCAATAGGATTCCTGGTGGCTGAGTGCTCGGCTCCTTCCCTCCATGCATGAACCTCAGAAGGCACAGTTGTTCCTTTCCTTGGCTCCCAGCCCTTGAAGCCCCACAAGGCCGTGGCACTCCAACAAGGTGTTGGCATTCAAGGGGGATTGCGTGTTCTGTAAGACGATATAGACATCCCCGTGCCAAGAGGTGGGGGGACTGGAAACACACAACTCGGTGCGAGCAGAGTCCCATCGAGAAGACCAGTGGGCGTACTGGAAAGGCCAATAACTTTGAGTCCCTGGCTCAACAATCGCCGCCTGGAGTTAGCTGCACACCAGAAACCCAGTTGGGGGGCTGCCTCCCAGCCAGTGCTCTCAGCACCCCGACACAAGGGAATGTCTGAAGAGAAAGTGCTTCTTCAAATATATTGAGTACCGGAGCAGGAGGGCTCCGCAGAGTGGCCTGGGGATCCTTGGAGACAGCCCTGGAGAACTTGTCTGCAATGATAGCGTGTCCCTGGAGGTTATGCTCAGTATAGCCACCACAGAGCAGAGAATTCGTGTGAGGGCAAATATTTATACCCTCCTGTGACTGAACTTTGCCACTGTGTCCATAGGACTATTAATACTCAGCGGTGTGACCAGCTCCCAGAGCCTTTGTCCGTGGCCCCCTGCCACATCGCTTTCGGCATCAGATGCCAGCCACGTTCTGCTGAGATAGAGAGCGAGAAGGAAAAGGCCACTGGGAGGCAGCGGGAGTCTTTGAGCACAAGAAAGAGCCCAGT